CACTTTCATGAGGCATCTGAAATAGTCAAATTCATAGAATGAGAACTCAAGGGGTAGTTGCCGGGGCCTGGAGGGATAGGGGGAATCAAGTGTTACTGTTTAAGGAGTAGAAATTTTCAGTTTATCAAGATGAATAGAGTTCTAGAGATAAGATAGTTGTGCTTCTTGATCAGCTATGTAAGCGTACTTGATATCACTCAATTGTAAACCTAAAATAGTAAAAATGTACATTAAAATGGCAAAATGTTAATAACTTAAATATTTAAAAAACACTCCTTTTCTGATTTCTACTGTGCACATCTGCTTTCCAAATTTTATATAATAAAAAGGCTAATATGTAAATTGTCCCCTTGACCTGGAGTTCCACCAGGGGACAAGGTTGGCCAGCCAACAGCCTACAGCCCCTCCGCCAAGCCGGACCTGCCCCTGGTCAGCTACCCCATCCCGATCAGGGGCAGGGCCGGCCTGCAAACTGCCCCCGGCCCCTCCCACCAGCCAACCCAGCCTGATCAGCCCAATTTAGGCAGGCCTGCCATACCCCCCCCCCTCATGCACGAATTCATGCACTGGGCCTCTAGTGTAAATATAAGAGTGAGTACAATACAAGGTCACTTATGAAATACCCATTACCAATCAAACTATAAGGCACTAAGGCAATGGGGTTAGACATAGAAGGAGGAAATATTAGAGAATGAGGATTTTGGATTGTGGAGCACTGATAAAACAAAGAAAGAGGGCAAGGAAGTGTGCAACTGTGCAACATTATGGCAAAAAGCTTTTAGAATGGTGGTAAACTTAAGGACAAGAGTAGAAAAAAATAATTCACAGCCTGCTTCTTCACAAGGTTTCCCTAGAGCCACTAATTATTGATCATTTTATGAGTAAGACCGCTGGAAGACAGGTAAATCTGAAATGAGCTCTTCCATGCTAGAGTATTAATAAGATGGAAGAACACAAAGTTTGTCACATAGTAGGCACCTTAGAAAGTAAATGAGGGTACCTTACCTCAGCTAACAAATATAACTTACACTAACTCAGTGAACAATATAAAAGACCATAACGTAAAAAAGAGAAAAACAGAAAAATTCCATAGCCTTCGTTATTAAAAACAATGCCTTTAAAATAAAATATACTCAATAAATATTTATTGAACAAACTGATAGGAAAAATCTGACAATTTTACATAGTTTTACTGATTTTTGAGTCAGATGTTTCTGAATTTCTTTTCTCAATTCTTCTAGCTCAATCTATCACAAAATGGCAAGCTATTTATTGAGGCTGTTCTTTGTCTTTATAAATATTTTCAACCCCAAATTTTAAGAATATGGATTTTTTTATTTATGATAACTCTACACATGTTCCATGAACCTAGAGAGGTATTTTCATAGAGTGTTTTCCCTCTAACCCTACCTACACCTGTGCTGCCACAGCCCTTGTCGCTTCCTGTCTGTGATTACAATTCCCCGCCTTGGTCCCTACAGCAGGTGGATGCATGAACCAGAGCCCTGGGGTTTTGGTACACCTCCTTCTAACACGCCTCTCACTGTGGGCTCACTCAGGGCACAGAAATACACTGCTGAGTCCTCCAGCTGTGAAGCTGAGAAGACAAGGTTGGCAGAACTCTTTGCTTTCTGAAAATTCAGTGAGTAGCGGCCTCCTGTGGCATTTTGCTGGTTGTAAGAGTCCTGACGAATGAGGAAAATCATCGCCCCACTGCTGAGCTGCTTGTACCAGAATAGACTATAACGTGAATCACTGGTGTCATATGTGCACCCCAGATTCACAGCCTCCTTCTCGTGCACCAGTATTGCTTGTTGGCCTTGAGTTACCTTCTGGGCAATACTGGATCCTGAAAGAAGAAAATACAAACAGAAGCTTATGGGATAAGTGATGTGGGACAGAAAAAAAATATATTTATATATATATATATGTCTCCTTTTTCACCAATTAACCCTCACACTCCACCCCCCACCAGCCATTCCCATCCCTGGCAAGCCCCCACCGCCCCAGTGTCTGTGTCCATTGGTTATGCTAATATGCATGCATACAAGTCCTTTCTAACTGCCCCCCACACACACACACACACATACACACACCTCCCCTACCATTTGTCTCAAGATCTATTTTTGATCATCAAATTTTGTTGATCATTATATCCCACATACGAGTGAGATCAGGTGATATTTATCTTTCTCTGACTGGCTTATTTCACTTAGCATAATGCTCTCCAGTTCCATTCATGCTGTTGCAAATGGTAAAAGTGTGTTCTTTTATATAGTGGAGTAGTCTTCTATTGTGTAGATGTACCACACAGAAAGAATTATTTTTAATCTCAGCCAGCTTTCCTTCCCAGGGGACTCATAAAAGACTGACTGCCCCCCCCCGCCCCCATTTGTTATGTCACAGAAGACCCATTCCCACTGGGGCATCCTTACCTAGCCACATGGAAGTTATGACCACCCTCAGAAGACCGGACACCGACATGTTCAAGTTCTCCCACTTGGTGGAAGAGATCTTCTTTTTCTTCTTCAGTGTCAGGGCTCTGCAAGGTGAGGTGCTGACAGACGGAGAGAAGAAATGCTGAGCTGTGTGCTGCTGCTGCCCCAGAACAGGAAACAGGGTTTCTGGTGCAGACGTTGCTGTGGGTCACGTCGAACTTTCTATGCACTGGCTGAGAGTCTCACCCAACCCACACTGCCTTTTGCATTAACCAACTCTTTTTTAATTTTATTTTTCAATTACCCTTTATGTCCAATATTATTTTGTTTTTATTTCAGGTGTATAGTAGTGGTTAGACAATCATATACTTTACAAAGTGTTCTCTCTGATATTCTCAGTACCAACCTGATACCATACATAGTTATTACAATATTTTTTACTATATTCTTTATGCTGTACTTTACATCCTAATGACTATTTTATAACTATCAATTTGTACTTCTTAATACCTTTTCTTTTTTTTTCACCTGGATCTGTAACCACCCTCCTCTCTGGCACATTCCTAGGTTGCAGGTTTGATCCAAATTGGGGTCCCTACGAAGGCAACTGGTTGGTGTTTCTCTCTTACATCTATGTTTCTATCTATCTATCTATCTATCTATCTATCTATCTATCTATCTATCTATCTGCAACATGCTGCCCACACGGGACGGCAACGAGAGTCAGCCTCTACAGGTGGCTAGTTTGTGGGCTCAGAAAGGGCCCCACTGTGCGGGACTGGGTAAAGCCACACCATCTGAGCAGTCAGCACCACCCGGGGGAAAGCAAGCAATAGGGAAGCTGTCAGCACACAGTCTGGTTTTGCAGGATGGAAAAAGGCCATCATGTTTGCAGTGAATTGTCCAGCAAAGGGAGGAAACCGATGCTGCAGAGAAGGTTTAAAGTCTGAATGAGCCTCAGTATGTACTGACCCTGCATCTCTGACCAGAGGACTTCTTCTTTCATAAAGCAATTCCCATGTATATGTGATAAAAACAGTTAGGTCCATAGTAATTGTGCCCTCTCTCCCTCACTTCTAATTTGGTTAAGGAAGAATAAACCCATAAAACAAAAGCCATGCATCATGCATCCCTCTCCCTGTCTTCCAGGAAATGGACCAATCGACAGGCACCTTGCTTTTACTGGACTGGAGCTCATGGTTATAGTGAGGAAATAATGGAAGTCATTGAGGTGTTGCGCTACAATACTGGCCTTTTGTGTTCACATGTTATGCATCTGGTTTAATGTGATGCATTTCCTTATAAGAAAAAACAATTAATTACTGACAACCATAACTCTCCCAAGAGCAATTATCTCTCCATACCAGTCACCAAGTCTTTAGGGAGAATATAAGAGATCTTGAAAATAACCTACCCAGGGCCACAGGTGGGATAATTGGGAAATTAATGATTCATGCAACATTTTTCATTCCATTTATTTACCCATAACATTAAAAGAATTGACTTTTTTAAAAATGAATAAGGTTGTGGTTAGTAAAGTTTATTCAGTCGAAACATGAAGCTGAGGCAAGGAGATTTGTGGCAAGCTATCTGTAAACTATGCATTTATCTAATGCCTTTGTGCACTCCACTAATAATACTAAGGTAGCTAATAAAAACTTATAAAAATTTTCCTATATAGCCCAGAAAGAATCATAATGGTAGCAAAAAATTACAAATCAAGGAATAGATTTAATTGTCTTAAAATAACAGAGTTTTATTAAGAAAGACATGTATAGATAAAAAGAAACTATATTTCTTACATAATGAAATAATAAAATACACAAATTAGGAGTTTTGATCCTCACAAATCAATATATAAATTTAATTCTATCACAAAGCTTAAATTAAAATCATGAGTAAATACCAGAACTCACCTTTCTATCTTTAACAAACATCTACTGATTATCATGTGGGAAAGTTCGTGCTGAGTACTGAGGCTATACCAGTGAATAATATACAACACAATCTTTTAAATTCTATGAGAATATAAATGTGAACAAATATGTACAGAATTTTGTAAAAGAGAATTGCTTTGTGTGTTTAATAAGAAGCTCACTTTCTAAAATCATGTCTACCCTGATTTCCTCAAACACACAAATAGTACATACCATCACCAGGCTCTGAAAAAAATTCACATTCTTTTTAACAATAAAGTGGTCAGAACACATAGAAAAAACTGTCACATTTTGCCACAAATGTAGAAGAAAATTAATATAAATCTGTAATTTACTAAAATTTCTCACAGAACTATTAAATAGCAGGTGCTGCAGGAAAAGGCTTGATGAAATGGAAATGCTCAATTCAAGATATACAATTCAGTGAAAAATCATGATTCTAATTACACCAAAAATTGATGGAAACGTAACCTGTTAGCAAATATTATCTGCTTACATAATTATCAAGTTCACATTTTTTCTCTTACACATATTTTCTATAATTGGCATGTAATAATTTTAATCAGAAAAAATAATAAATGCTGTTTTCAAAACACAATAATTAAAATACCAATCATAATAAACATTGTTATATTAATGCTAAGGGATTTTTTATAGGACAGGAGTTTGAATGGCAAATATAAAGTCATCTTTAAAGCCTAAGTTTCAAACTTAAACATTACTAATTCACTTCAAGAATCCATTAAGCAACAAACATCCAACCATATGTTATAACCCTTTCTGGGTCATCTTGAAACTGACCTCTTATTAAGTGTTTTTATACCAACACACTATTTTCCACTTGCAAATAAGCAATAAGACAAATGCAGGTCTGTCCCAGGCAGAGGGGGCTGCCCCCTCGCAGGTTTGTGTACAGGATGCAGGTGCCTGGGAAGCAATGTGTACTCGCTGCACAGAAGTAGACAGCTGAGTCTCCAGGTTGGGTGGCTGCCATGTGCAGGGAGAGATGTTTGGCCGCCTTATTCAAAAAAACGGTGAGTCTTCCAGCTTGGTTTTTGTCCTTATTTGAACGAATGTCTGTAATGAACTGGGGACCTTTTCCAGGTTCTTGCTTATACCAAGGAAAGTAGTCAGAGAGACTGTCGGAATAAGAACAGTTGATAACAGCGGTGTTTCCCTCCTGGACATTCAGGGTAGAAGGATGCTGATCCACTTTCTCTCCATGGCTTACCCCTATGCAGAAAGAAAGAGTCAGAGAAAGGAGAACAGTGACCAGATCATTAAACTTTATCATTTTCTTTTTATCCAGTAACTAAGGAACCCTGAAACAAGCCAGTGTTGCTTCTAAAGAATATCCACTAATATATTGTTTCCCATAAGCCCTCAACTCACGGTCCAGCTGCAGCCACAAGAACATGAACAAAGCTCCAATGGACGTCTTCATAATTCTTCCCATTTAGGATCAATTGTGGACCTGCAATCACAGCCAGGGGAGCTACTGCTGTTATCAAGTTACCCCTCCTTTCCTCTGACCATCATAGGGGTTTCTCACATTCTACCCAGCCAATAAGAAAAAGACTGTGCTTCTGCCAAAGCCTGTTCATTCAGAACCCAGTAAAATGCACCCTCCACATGTTCTGCATCAGCACAGATGCACTGCCATCTTGTGGTTACATTCACAACTACTGAACTTGCTGTTAAATATTCTCTTACCCTGTGCCTCCAGGGACTCAAAACAGCAATTGGTCAAAAAAATTAAGTCAGAACAGAGAATACAGAAGAATATAGAGATCAAGGTTTGTAACTCTGCACACTACTGAGTCATTGTTAATATTTTGGAAAGAGTAAGATGCTGTTGGTATTTATTCTACAATGGACTGGGTTTATATCTTTGAAATCTGGAAACTCAATGGTTCACTCTCTTAAGCAAAAAAAATATATAAAATCTTCCTCTTCAAGCTGTCATACATAAACACAATAGAATACAACTCAGCCTTAAAGATGAATTAAATCTTACTTTTCCAACACTATGGATGGACCTAGATTGTATAATGCTAAGTGAAATAAGTCTGACAAAGAAAGACAAATACTATCTGATTTCACTTACATGTACAATCTAATGAACAAGAGAAACAAACAAAATAGAAATAGACCCATAGATTCAGACACACAGTTGTAGGCTAGGTGAAAAAGGTGAAGGGGTTAAGCAGTATAAAAATGGTAGTTATAGATTAGTCACAACAATGTAGATTACAGCATATAGAATATAGTCAATAATAGCGTGATAACTATGTACGGGGCCAGGTGGGCCCTTGAAGCAGCATGAAGACCACTCTATAAAGTATATAATTTTCTAAGCCCTGTGCTATACTTCTAAAACTAATACAAAATAATATTGAATGTAATCTGTAATTCAAAAAATTTTTAAATTTAAAATCCCTTCCTCTTTAGCTAAACCTGCCATCCTCATTTCTCTGTTATGAAGAAAAGCTCTTTCTAAAAGGAATATGTAAGGAAACGATTAGAGTTTGAGGGAGAAGATCATTGGATATTTCAAATACCTTCTATCTCAAAGTCAGCTCCTCTAAGCTGATTTTGCCTGCGACCTTGCTATTCCCAGAGAACTGATAGTACCAAAGTGAATGTTAGGAATCTTTCCTCAATTAATATGACTAAGTCTGCCCTTATATCTTCATATTAATTTTAAGGCTGCCAGTCATTCCTCTCTATGCCAGATGGTACAGTTTGAAATTCAATTTGCATTGAATTATTCCACATGCCAAGTTTAAACTTCAGGTTTGGTGGCTAGAAGTCTTTATCACTGGCTGTAACAGATAAGGCATATTTTAGTTTAATCCTGCAAGCTTTCTGCTCCCTTTCCCAAAATGTGAGTGCTGTAGCAAAATTATGAGTAAAATTTTATCCACAATGCAAGAATTGGTGATGTATTTTAATAAAACAAAATGAAAATTTCCATTTTGATCTTTCCATAAGATCTGCTATACAAGGAGCTGCTTAGAAATGCCCTAAATGGAACCCATATACACTGCTTCTGGGGATATAAATTGATGCAGCCACTATAGAAAAAATTATGCCTGTTTCGGCCCAATCATGCAGGAATCCCTTCTGCCAGTTTAGGGATTCCTGCATGATTGGGCGGAAACAGGCAGATGGACATTCCCTGAGGGGTCCTGGATTGCAAGAGGGGGCAGACCGGGCTTAGGGACCACACCCCCATGCACGAATTTTGTAAACTTGGCCTCTAGTCTTTCTCTATATATATAGATCAGTGTTTCTAAACCTTCTGAATGCTGTGACCCTTTAATACAGTTCCTCATGTTGTGGTGACCCCCAATATCATTGTTACAAATTGAACATAATTAAAGCAAAGTGATTAATCACAAAACAATATGTAATTATATATGTGTTTTCCAGTGCTTTTAGGCGACCCCTGTGAAAGGGTCATTCCACCCCCAAAGGGATCGCGAACCCACAGGTTGAGAACCTCTGATATAGATAGATAGATAGATAGATAGATAGATAGATAGATAGATAGATATGCCTAAGCAACCATAACGGCGAAACAACCAGAACAACTGGTTGCTATGACACTCACTGAGCAGGCAGGCAGGCGAGCAATTAGGAGTGAGGAGGCGGGCAGGTGAGCAGTTAGGGGCGAGCAGGCAGGCAGGCGAGAGGTTAAGGGCAAGCTGTCCTGGATTGCAAGAGGGATGCCTAGTTGCAGGGATTGGGCCTAAACCAATAGTCAGACATCCACAGAGGGGTCCTGGATTGTGAGAGGATGCAGGCCGGGCTGGGGGACTTCCCCTGCCCCCTTGCACAGATTTCATGCACCACACCTCTAGTATATTATAAAATTGTACACCTGAAATTTGTATAATGTGAATAACTAATGTCACCTTGAGAAGTGTAATTAAAAACACTGGCCAGGTGGCTCAATTGGTTGGAGCGTCATCCCATACACCAAAAGGATGCAGGTTTGATCCCAGGTCAGGGCACATATGGAAGGCAACTGATTGTTTCTCTCTCACATTGATGTTTCTCTCTCCTTTCCTCTCTTTCTGAGATCAATAAAAACATGTCCTCAGATGAAGATTAAAAAAATAAAAATAAATGACCTAAATGGATACTTTTGTTTGTAATATACATAAACACATTGTAAAATTTATAGATCAAAATAATTGATGATGCAAAAGAGTGTTCTATAACAGGTCACACAAATTATAACCTCTCATGTTGTACCAGCTTCAAAACTTTATTAATAATTTGAGTTCAAACCATTCACTTCTCCACTACAACCCTCACTGTATCCATGTGTGAAATGAGAGTATTTATTTACAGTGTTATTCAGTACTGAAATAGATAATATATGTAATAATCTAGATTGAGTGAACATCATTCAATAAAATTATTTTTCTTATATTTGGTATTTCTGGGAGAATAAGTCAAATAAAAACTTTATAAACCATTACACAGGCTCCTTCCTTTTGCCTTGAAAGTAGAACCACCTGCAGTAAACTGAAGAACTGACTCATATTCTTCTGCTTGTTCACCACCATGTATTTTTCAAGCCTTTTCCAGCAGACTAATTTGTATGTCATTTCTGTGCTGCTTGCAAGGCGACCTGCTTTGACAGGAAATTAGATACTGATATCTTTATCAGTTGTTTTAGTGGTTCCATATTAGAGCTTTTTACCTATAAAATTATTTCAGGGAAGGAATAAGGCCAAAAAAAGAAAAGGTGAATGACAGAGCAGAAGAGTCTAATTTTAGGACAGAAACAAGTTTTGGAACATACATTTGAAAACCCAAAGATGTGCAAGGCTAATGTGGGGCAACATGCCTGCCCGTGGAAGGGGTGGTGCTGCAGGCCCAGCTGCAGTTTGGGTACAGGCTGCAGATCACCTGGCAGCACTGTGCACTCGCTGCACAGAGGTAGGTGGCTGAGTCCTCCAGTTGGGAGGCTGTGATGCTCAGGGTACTGTACAGGTCCTTAGAATTCAGTGTGGAGCTTAACCTTCCACTGTGCTTTGTTCCTGAAGCTAAATAAAATAGATTGATGAGGCCACCCCCGGGATTCTGTCGGAACCACTGCATATTGGTCACTGTGGTAGAAAAATTGCACCTCAGAGTAGAGCTGGTTCCCTCCTGGAGGCTCAGGACTGAAGGACTCTGCTGCACATTCATCCCTCTCACCCCTGCATGGAAAGAGAAAAACAAACACCAATAATGCCACTGGGATGAATGATGCAGTTTCTAGACCTGTAAAATATCTCAAGAAACACCCAAATGGGACTGTCTAGGTCTAGGAGCTCTCCCTTCCCCAGCCCCCACTGTCAGCTGTGGACCACTCCCCAGCTCCCCATCTGGGACACCCGAACTCACAGCAAACCTGGGCCCACAGAAGCCCCAGCAGAGCCCCCAGGTGTCTCTCCATGACGTCTTGCCAAGTTGCTGTGGTGCCTTTGCCCCTGCCCTGGAGGGTGCAGGGTCCTGGACCAAGGCAAATGTTGTTCCTGCACTCAGTGTGTTCACCAGACTCACTGAGGACCAATCACCTCTCAGCTCTGTCATTCATCTTAACCGCAAACTCCACCCACAGTGGCCCAGTGAGATGGCACAGTCATCTCTCCAAAATTCTGGGTACAAACAGTGCATGAAGTTAAGAGGCAATATGTACAATTTATGAAGATATAAAACTTTTTGTTCCCTTAAAGCACTTATGTATGATAAGTTTGTGGTTAGTGTTTGAGGAAGGGGGTATGTTTCTGAAATAATCAATTTATCAGCAGGTTACAAAGAACCTTGGAGAGTCCTAGGAAGAGTAACCTCGTTTCCCAAATTGCATAGTTTGACAAAGAATTAGAGAATTCAGTTATATGAAAATTCTGATAAAGGATACTATCTCAGCATTTACTGTGTATTGCAAAAGTAAAGGATTTTCTTGAAATCAGGAGAGTTCTAGAAAACAAAACATATAGTCACCATCAACCTAAAAAAATAAGTCCAATTTGCTATGTGATAAATTAGATAGGTTTGTGATGTCCACTCTGACTTAATTTCCACCTCTTCCCTTCTCCTGTCCAACTCTTGAGCATCTTGTTGATCCACATGATGACTCTAATAAAACCACACTTTAATGATTAACTTAAATATTGTCCTCTCCTTTTTCTGCTATTTTTGTTCCTTATTTTTTCCTCTATCTTCTTCTCTTAATTCTTGTTGCACTTACTTTCATGGAGATATATAAAAAGGTAGTATATTTGTGATGATGCAATACTTTTCCGGGTTAGTGGGTTTTGGGACATTAATCCTAACAATTAAAAAATAAAAACAAGTTACAGAGGTATTTACTGTTGAGCTCCATGCTCACAACAACCAGTAATATTCTTACTCCTGTATTTCTGCTCAGAGAAACCCAATGGATTTATAAAGAATGGACTCCAGCTCTCTGATGTTACATAAAGTGGCAGAGCTGAAAAACTAAGATGAACTTCACACAAACACTGTCTCTTCCCCCTCCCCCCTCAACCTCTTTGCTGTCTATAATTTGACTGGCTCATATGCTCATTTTCCTCCCCTCTTAACTGTTCAACCTGCTGGGACCACAAGAAGTCAGTAATGAAA